TTTCTTCTAAAGCCGTTTGCGCCGCTAATTTATCTAAATTGAGGACGACTAAAGTCGGCAGCAAACGAACAATCTTAGATTTTTAATTTGTTTCCCCGTCAATTCCCTCTGGATTGTTAGTAGCAGTGGTCCCGAAACCCTGATCAAAAAGCGAACAGTTCAATTTCCAGTAACCAGCCAACAACCTTAGTTTATTTAAGTTTACACGACCCGGACAAGCCTTGGTCCGTATAAACTTTAATGGAAACTTGGACAGCCTTTTTTCCTTTTTCTCAGGTTCAAAAGCGAGCCAGGAGCCGAGCTGTTTATTTAGTTCAAGTCCAATAGGGTGTTCATTCCGGAACTTATCGACAAGATCAAACCCATCGATAAAGTCCCGAAATGGTTTCACATCCGGGTTGTAATTATAATTTTTTGCCCTATCCGATCTATATTCAAGACGGCATTCCAATCCCCGCTAAAACTACCCGACGAGACGTCGTCAATAACGGCGCGATCTGCCGAAACAAAGCAGGCCGCTCGGAATGGGTATTGGGCGCATAAACCCCAATGAGACGAAGATTTATCAACATCCAGCACGCAAAGCCTGCCCGCCGGATCCGCGAAGACAAGGGTACATTTGTGCTAACTAGCCAAGAGACACCCCTCGAACAACCATCAAAACATGCTGAATAAAGGGCGAACCCCTAGACAGCATGTCCTCACGATCATGAGAAGAAACCGGGTAAACAACATTTTTCACCCCGAGGCAAGGTCACGAGAGAGCCTCGCACTGCGATCTCGGACCTCAGGCCCCGGGCATTCAAACTTTTAACCAGAGAGCCATCGTGAAGCCGATTAGGGTTGCCCTTCAGGATAGAACATGGCTGGGGTGAGGACACCCCACAGCTCGTCCCATGGATCCCGACGCCATCTCATTTTCGACGGTATCGTCCTGAGACAAACCGCCGATGTCCGAAGGGTAAGTTAGTTTAAAAGCTCTGTAAAGGGATGGGTGAACGAAAACCGGGACCCTCCCTTTTAGTTTTTTCAATGCTTCGTCAGAATCGGGATCCAATAGGTATGCAGCAGGGGGCACCATTTTAGAGATGAATCTCCCGCGTTCCCGGCCCGTTCTAATAACTGTTAATACCCTTTTGCCGAAGGAAAATTTTCAGGCCTTTTTCACCTCTTTATTTTTGATGTTTTGGAAATTCCAAAGGATTTTTAAATCCTTTGGATTCCTAGTTTGTCCAAAAACCCTTGGTCCCAAAAGAAATGACATCTTGGGAAATAAAGGTTTGTTTTTTTCTTTTTTTTTTCTGAGATGTTTTTTGTGTCAATTTGAGGTTTGCACTGGAACATAGGTTGAGATTTGGAGTGGTTGATGGGGTCCATTAATAGGTTTGTCCTTACTGGTGAAGGTTTAGGTGAATGTATAGATTTGCTAGGTTTTGACAAGGATTTGGGCGGATGGCTAGGGTGAATTTCCCTTAGATTTAGAAAGAAGGGAAGACGGGGCAGAGGATAGAGGGCCGGTGCCCCCCCGACGATTTTTTCCCTTTTCCCGCTTTAACTCCAGTTTTTCTTTCAGTTTTTTTATGTCGAATCTTTTGCCAACTAGGCTCATTTAACTTTTGCGTTTATATGACGCAGAGGCGTCGACCTCAGCGCTGGTTGGGGCTGTAGGTGATGATGTCCCTGGAGTCATGCTGGGACGGAGGAACCGCTGTTTGGCTCTTCCTTCTGCCCTAACCACGGTGCCATTCCCCCTCATCCTTCTCTTTAAACACCAGTAGCAGGCGTCGGTTTCGGGGCAATGTGGCTTAGACCCAACCGAGGGATTTGCCCATCGGTCCGCCTCGCAGCTAGACCCATTACAGGTGCCGCGGATTTTACCCTTATCGGCCAAAACAGGTATTTTGGTCGCCTGTGACCGGAACTCCAGGGCCTTCTTCCCTGGGCAGGAGGAGGAAAGGTGACCAGTCTCTCCACACCTCCAGCAAGTCGGACGCCTACCGGTCACAATGACCGGCATTTTCCGGTCACCTAAAACCAAACAGTTGGGGATTGAAGGCCTCTTGATCCAGCATGATATCAAAAGTCCATCCCCCCGTTCAGATTGTCGGAGAGAGTCTCTTCTGGCCATACTGCATAAAAAATGCAGCCAGAAAAATTTGAGGAGGAACCTCAAAAACAGCCACCCTGGTCCGCCTGCGGCCCTCATACTCTGTTCTCAGAATTAGATCCTTAGTGATTAATTCTTTTTGGCCATAGACAGGCAATTTCTGGTGTGGGCAGCAGAATGTCCCATATGAAAAATCCCCTACCTTTTATAAACTCTTTGGGGTTTTATCCCCAGGGACAAAAGTGATTTAATCACAATGTCTTTTTTGGAGCGACAAATCTTTTTTTGATTCTTGTCCACCACAAAAACCGTCACCATTCTCTTGGCAAACATACCGAGTTCCTGGACATCATCGATGAACCCATCTTTCTTCACCAGATGGGCGTAACCTTTCGCCTTGTCCAGGAAATCCGCCATGTTCAGTATACAATTCGGAGGGGGGACTTCAACAAGAGGGCGACTCCACTGAAGCGTCTTTAGGAGCAACATTCGACTTTCTACTTTTCTGGAGGAACTCTGGTCTTTTTAGGGCTGTTGTTAGCTTTTGGGCTGTTGTTAGCTTTTTTAGGCTGTTGTTAGCTTTTTTGGGCTTTTTCCAGCCCGCTTTTTCTCATTCTCCTTTGGGTTGGTACTGTCGACCTTCCCAAAGAGGTCCTTCATTTTTGGACCGACTGCCTTCGTCAGCCATACTGAAAGTTTTGTGAAAACAACCACTAGCGGGTTTTTTTTTTTAAACACACAGGGAGAGGAGTTGGGGAAAAAAAAACAAAAAAAAAAGAAAGCCTGGATAAACCAGGAAAGCAAACAAAACAAACAAAAAATTGAATGAAAAAGGACTGAAAACAGTTAAGACTTTCTAAAAAAATAAAAAAAAATAAAATAAAATGGCGCCCGAAAAAATGAAAAAAAAAAAACAAAAACTTCTCTTTTTTTTACCAGAAAAAACTAAACAAAAAATGAAAAATATTCTGTAAAGTTTAGCGGCTGAGGCCGCTAAAAAAAAATGAATTAAAAAGAAACTAGTCAAAATAAAAAGGAGAAAGAAGGCGACTGAAGTCGCTAAAAAAAAAAATAAAAAAAGAAATAAACAAAAAGCTTCTTTTTCTTTTTTTTTTCTAAACTGGTCTTTTTTAAATAAATAAAAATAAAAAAGCAGTCGTCCGGTTTGACAAAGTCTTACCGGACTGAAAAAAAGAAAAAATGTGAGCTAAGGCCCAAATACAAAACAAACAAAAAAGAAAAAATTAAAAAGAATGAAAATAAAACAATAACTTATCAGATAAGAAAAGGTCCAATTGATTTTCACGAAAGTTTCTCCACAAATTTAGCAAAAAAAAGTCACACTACACAAAAAAAAAAAAGAAAGAAAGAAACGGACAGAATAAACGTCAAAAAATGTCACTGTCTGGCGCTCTTAGAGTTTTATATCGCCTACAAATGTGGAAGTAAAATACTTTTGAAACTTTTTCTTTTATAATAGAATTTTTTTCCATCATTAAAGCAGTTTAAAAGGAACAATTTAATTCTACGTTAAATATGCCAAAAATGGGTAGAACAGACCAACCGAATTCCACAATTTGTTGTGTTATGCTTAATTTTGACACCAGATCTTGTCTTCAATCCTCTCTCTGTGACGAAACTGACATTCGAAATGTAAGGTAATTTAGTATACTTCAAATCTATTCTTAAATATCATATATAATAAGTATTTATGTTTATGCATACGTCATTACAATTGGTTTCCAAATATGGAAATTACTTATGATTCAAACTCTATATTGACTGACTTCTAAATAAGCATACAGATTTTGTTTATTAATATAAATGTAATGACAAAAGTACGCAGGTTTAGGCTTTAAGAAAGCTTTATTCAACTGAGAAAATAAGGTTTGCTTATAGTGTCCTTTTATAATTCCAGTAAACAGAGATAGCTACTCAAACAGGAGAGTAAGAAAACAAGGGGAGGCTACTCTTGAATATTCATAACAATCAGCATATAGTTTATATTTATTGTAAAGAGTAAATCTAACAATAATATTTACCAAGAAAAACTTTAGATTTTAATATTTAAAATGACGCATTGTTCTAAGTGTGTAGGCATCTGAAACAATGACGAAACTTCCAAAGTTATAAAAATAACAACCCATGCTTTAATTAGAGTGCACACAATTTTCAAATCAACATTGTCAACGTTGAATTATATGCGAACGTTTCGTTGAAACATATTATAACATCCATCCCGTATGGAATTATTTACGTAGGTTTAAATTTTATTAGATATAGTTTCGCATGACGAGAAATGTGTATAATTTTCATTGCGACAATACAAACGCAAACAAGCGCGCGTGCGTCTGTTTATATATTAGTACATACTGTGTTAAATATATGCTTGCTGGGTCTCTTTATATTTCTACATCAAAGAAATTCATTAGAATTTACGCTGCTTTCTTCGGTGAATAAAAGAAGCAAAGAAAATGCACAAATATAAAGGAAGTAATCGACACCAGAAGAAATTAATCAATTTCATTAAAAATAAAGAATGAAAAGTGCCACTAGAGAGAACATTTAAGAAGACATGTTTGTTTAATTTGGGAAACGAAAGAATGATTGAAAGAAAGAGTGAAAGAAAAAAGTATTTTGAACAAAGGAAAAAAAATGAAAAGCTAGTAAAGAAGAAAAGAAATAAACAAATAATACATATTCGAAAGAAAGAAAAATAAACACTGCAGAAAAGACAAAAGTGACAAACGTGTAGAAATGTGAACGAAAAAGAAAAAAGAAAGAAAGAAATCATTTCAAGCAAAGGATAATGAAAGGAAATTCAGAAATTGATGATAAGAAGAATGAATAAAGGAAAGAAAAAAATAATACATATACGAAAGAAAGACAAAGATTACACAAAATGAAAAAAAAGTGGCAAACATACAAAAAAAGAAATGAGAAAGATAAAAGAAAGAAAGAGAGAAAGAACGAAAGGAAAATGTATTTGAAGCAAAAAAAAATATAGATAGAATCGACGCTAAAAAGAATGGATAAAAAAAAGAAAATAATGCATATATGAAACAAAGACACAAAAAAAAACATTACAAAAATAAGACAGAAGAGTGAAAAACGTATAGAGAAAGACGACATGTGAAAGAAAGAAAGAAACAAACAAGGAAACAAATGAATGTAAAAGGTAAAGAAAAAAGAATGAAAATCCAAGAATCTATGTTAGGAAGAAAGAAGAAATAAAGAAATAATAATTATAGGAAAGAAAAACAAATAAACACTACAGAGAAGAAGAAAAAAGTAACAAACGTATAGAAATCCGAAAGAAAACGAAAGAAAAATAAAGAAAGAAAGAAGGAAGGAAAGGAAAGAAAAAACAGAGTAAAAGAAAAGAAAATCCAGTAAATGATTGGGAAAGAAAGAAAAAAGAAAAAAAAATAAAACATTTAAAAGAAAGAACGAAAGAAAGAAAAGAAAGAAAAAAAAAAAGAACGAACGAAAAAAGAACGAACGAAAGAAATGAAAAAACTTCGGAACGAACGAACGAACGAAAGAAAACGAACGAACGAAAGAACAAAAAACGAAAGAAAGAAAGAAAGAAAGAAAAGAGAAAGAATTTGAAGGAAAAGTAAGAAAAGTATGGAATCGAAGCTGGGAAGAATGGATAAAAAAAGAAAATAATATATGTACAAAACAAAGATAAATAAACACTACAAAAAAGAAGATAGAAAAGTGAAAAACACAGAGAAAGACGAAACGCGAAAGAAAATAATTAAAGAAACATCGAAAGTAGAAAGAGTTTGTAAGCAAAGGGGGGAAAAAGAAAATTCAAGAATCGATGTTAGGAAGAATGAAAAAAATAAAGAAGAAATAATACATATACGAAAGAAAGACAAATAAACAATACAAAAAAGAGAAAAAGAGTGACAAACTATAGAGAAATAAGAAATGCGAAATAAAAAAGAGAATTAAAGAAAGTATTAGAGTATGAAAAAGTATGAAAGAATTAAAGAAAGAAAGAAAGCATGCATCAAGTAATTTGATTGTGTAATCTCGCAAATTACATAATTTTGTTAACAAAAAATAGCGAATTCCCATAGACACAAAGATAGTCAAAAGCAAAACGTAGAACAACAATGTCAGAAAAATGAAAATGAGCCGAAACGGTCCATTAATTTAATACCGATGTTCGTGAATTGCCATTAGATATATCAATAAACAAAACTAGTGACCAAAACGTTGAATGAAAAAGAACAAAAAACTTATTCTTAATTAGAATTATTAAACTGAAGACATTTTACTTATGCTAACGTTACTAATGATTATTAATCATATCCATCTGACTGGATAGTAGCAATTACTAATAAGCATTTATGCAAGCGGTTTGGTCTTAAAAAATGTCATTAGCAGAACAAAAGAAACTGTTCGTGAGTATAACATTATGTATAAAACTAAGTCATTCAGGACCATTCATATCAGCATAAAAGATCTAGCGTTCGTTAAAAAATGGAAAAAATAAACGGATGTCGCAAACCAGATATTTCAACAGGCTGATCATTAAATGCTTCCGACACGGCTGGATTTTGTCAGAAAAAGAATAAAACTTACCGAGTTTGAAAACCGCAATCAAAGAATTGGAAATCTTCGGGAGGCCTCAGCAATTGAGACAGCCCACGAATAACAGCTATGAATTAGGGACATCGACATCATGCAGATCCAGAAATTTAACTGTCTACTGAAGTAACAGACGACAGAAATTTGACGCAGATGTCTGAAGGGGGATAAGAATATAGAAAGGTGTCTTCCAGAAAGTCTGTATTATATTAAGAGATTGGAAAATATTGCTAGAAAACTAAAACGGTACTAAAATGTTACGCAATATCATATCCCCTCTATCGCTAGGAATATGGAACAAACACACAGAAGAAAAAGAATTATTGCAGCAACAGAAATGTGCTTCTCACAACGAACGCTAAGACTGACATCGACTGTACATATGAAGAATACTAAATATATATAATCGGTCAGACGCCTGGTTTAATTGTTTATTTATATATTAATCGAATCTTCCCTATTATTCCTTGACTAATTACATTGTGGGCTTCTTGGTACCTCGGCATAGATTAATGTTTGAACGGGGGCAGTCTCCTTAAAATTAGTCACATGTAACGTCCGACATAAACAAGATAAATAAGAACAAAGCAACAGAAACGATGGGATGCTAACAGAAAACGTCTCAGCTTCAGGCGATTTCGGCATAGTTAAGATCACGGAAGTAATAAACTAATAAACAATGACGATATAGCGTAAGATCTCAGGAAATTCACCTTCCTAGATTTACCTAAGAATCCCGGTGCACAATAATGCGAGCTTTATCGGGCAATGTGTTTAAATATCCACATAACCAAACTAATGGCGCTAATCCTGATTAATATATCGTAAACTTAAACCAAAAATAAGACTAGAACAGTGTGTCTTTATGAAGTGTACTGGAATAAGAAATGTTATATCAATGATTTGAATGTTATCGGAAAGTTAAATGCAAATGTAGAAGTTTCTGCCCATATGTTTTATAGATTACAGCAAACGGGCCAACTTAAAATGTTAAGAAAACTAAATCACTTTTTATAGCCATCCCGTTATACAAGGATCCAAAAATATTCAAGGAGATTGTTGTGCGTGCGGTACGAGGAAGAGATATGTGGCAAGAATAACGGTTAGATTAAAATGGTTAAGATTATAATGGTTAAAATTATAATGGGTGGGAAAGCGTCCTCTTGAGGTCCGTTCCAAGGATTTATTGGTGCGTGGGAGGAAGCATTTCGAGTGGAACTTAATAATAGAATGCGAAAGTGATGAGCGCATTTCTCCTCAGTGTACGCAGCGTGGAGGGTCTGAGCTGTGAGGTTTAGAATTGGTTGAACACGTCTGAACACTTTCCATGGAAATAGGGATAGAGTAACAAATGCTCGCAACGTTTTGATTGTGGTAAAAGAGTTGATGGGTGGAAAATAATTCATCACGCACAAGAACAAAGATATACGGTTTTGAACTCTATCAAGATTAGATTGTGTTGATTGGACAGCTACAGTCTCAGATATAGCTTGTTCTCCCCCTTCGGCCAGATTTGACTTTTGTAAATGTAGAGTAAAGCGGTAGGGGGTAGGGGTTCTGAACGTAACAAGAGAACTGACCATTTTCACAGCATCATTAGCGAGGGATCGTAATGAGTTCCATTCAAATAGGAATGCATGAGTGAACAGGCATTCATTTCGATAGACGAGAATTCTCGGTTTGCTCAGTGATGATGCAATATTACGAGTTTTGTTTTTGAAGTATTAAAAGAGACAAGTTTTCCCCCATTGAGATGCCAGTGCTAGATCAGAAAAGAGATCATATACTAGGTTTTGGTCATCTGGAGTCTTGCACGGGAACTACACTGCGTGCCAAATTATTATCGAGATAACATTTTTCTAATATTTCAAAAACCGTTCAATTCAGTCACACAATGTTGGCACACCTGAGCTGCGCAATCACTGAAATTTTCGTACTGATCTGCGCAAGGTAAATAAACTGGCGCCATATTTGTTATCAGCATGGTGATTTGAGCGTGCCAAATTATTAAAATGATTTAGTAAAATTCCCAGAATTGAGCAAGCAAAACGGTTATTAATGTTGATCGTGAATGTTTATGATCAAAAGAAGCTAATAAATAAGATAATCAAACAAATAATAACAGATACAAACAAAGGCACAGTTTTAAACAAATTAATAGGGAATGTACTTTCAATGTTTTGAAATTACTTGGAAAAGTCGACGATCCATAGAATTTGTTAATTGTAGGATGTCATCTGCTGTAATGCCGCGAGATATGTCAAGAATTGCTTCCCACAACTCAGCGTTGCTCCTGAATTGTCGTCCGTTGGCGTACAGTCTTCGCTTCATGATGCTCTCAAAGGTTTTCGACTGGGTTCAAATCCGGAGAATTTGCTAGCCACTTCATTTTTCAAGGTCCATCACAGCATAACTGTTTCAAATATTCAGTAGTCTTGTGAGCAGCGTGTGAGGGAGCATTATCATGCATAAAAACAATGGCTCTTCTGAAGGCAACTCTTAGCCTTTTTATCCACGGTTCAAGATGCTCCTGCATAAACGCTATGTATGCATCAGCAGTCATTTTGCCGCCATCTGGTACTCTCCATGCGCCCACTAATGTGTTTCCAATAATACCATCACACAGATCATTATGCCTCCACCGCCTTGTTGGCGTCTCAAACGCTGATGGCGATTCTGTCCGTTCATTACCCAGCCTTTGCACCATCTATCTGGCCCATCAAGTGTTGCTCGAGTTTCGTCTGTGAACAAAACTTTAGAGAAGTCAATCTTCATATTGTCCTCGGCCCATTTCAATCGATTTTTAATATGATTTCTCGTCAACGGAGGCTTCGGTACAGGTTTGACTGTTGTTGCTATTTCCCTCAGATACCGACACCGAGTACTTTTAGACACAGTAGGATCCCCAATACGACTGAAAAGCTCTTGACTGGTAAGTCCAGGGTTCTTCGTGGCCTCTCGTTTAAGTTGTGACATGAGACGACGTGAAATAACCCTCGGCTTGCCTTTATATGCCCTTTTGCGTACTTGTGTAGGGTCGGCGGTGAATTTTTCACTGTTTGATGACACTTCACTATCATTTTAGAAATTTCTAGGGTAGATTTACCTTTTGAGAGTTCTGAGGTAATAGTTTTCTTTTCAGCATCACTTAAACTGCTTTTACGGCCCATCTTTTCACTAAATTCTTATACTTTTCTAATAATTTGGCACGCTCAAATCACTGTGCTGAAAACAAATATGACGCCAGTTTGTTTACATTGCGCAGATCAGTACGAAAATTTCAGTGATTGCGCAGCTTAGTGTTGCCAACATTGTATGAAAATTTTGTGTGAATTGATTTGACGGTTTTTGAAATATTAGAAAGAAGTTATCTCGATAATAATTTGGCACGCAGTGTATATACAGTTGTATCATATGCATAGTTATTCGTAAAAGATACACTTAAGAGGATAATTAATGTAAAGCAGAAAAATGGATTTGGTTTGGTTTGGTTTATTTTGCTTTACAGCATATCAACCTCAATATGTTATTTAATGCCGACAAATTTTTTATTGCTGATAATTCTTTTTTTTTTCATCAAATATATTTTTGGTAATTTTTTTCCTTCAAATGTCTATTCCTAGTAATATTTTTTCATCAAAAATTCATTTTTTTCAAAAAGTATAGCTGTTAATATCTTTTTTTTCAAAAGTGTATTACAGGTAATAATTTTTTTCTTCAAAAACGTATTGCTGGTAATATGTTTTACAATGTATTTATGGTATTAAAACCTGTTTTTACACTTTCATAGTGTTTTGACCAACATTTGGGGTTTAACTATTTGCCCATAGCTGGGACCCTAACAGATGATGCCACCCCGAGTCAGGGTGGACCTGGGAACACCAGCAATTAATAGCTGGTTCCACGCTCCTCAAAACCTCCTGAAAATATGCCTTGCTGTTGGACGTAGTTTATCGTCTTACACGCCTCGCGGTTGTAGTCTATCGTCATACCCAGGACGTACTGAAAGTTGGACTGAGAGTAGTAACATTGAGGACTTGTTCATTGATCTCATGGAACTGATAGGACTAACCATTAGGAACTATATATTTATCAATATGGTAAGTATGTTAGAATAATCTAGAATTTATATTAAGAGCAAACCGTCTGCATATGGTTGGAAAATGAAATGTATAAGTACACAAAATATAAAAGGTGCATAAGAATTTAACTTGTCTTCTCCACAAATTTATTAAGCCTATACAGCGAGACTATCCTAAAGGTTCTGTAGACCATACCAGGATTTATTATGAGTGTATGTAAGCTTAATAATATACATTATACAGATGACATTTTGTTGATGGCTGACACGAAAAAAACCTTCAGGACCTTCGAGACAATGTTTTTCAAGAAAATCTACAAACCATCAACAACTAGACATGATATGATCATCAGCAAGAGAAAAAGTCCAAAATTCGAGTTACGAATTGGAGATTTCAAATCAAAGTTCAAATATCTGGGAAGTGTTTTAACAAAGGATGAAAATGCCACACCGAAAACCGAACTCGAATTGAGTTAGCGAAGGATGAATCTCTAAGTGCTGAAAAATTTAAAAACGAAACGTTAGAAAACAAGGAAAAAATGCGTGATTGCTATATGATATTAATCCCCTTACATAACAGAGAATGCTGGAAAATATCCCCAGAGATAAGACAAAGAAACCTGGAGGCAATGGAAATGTTTTTTCTACAGAATGATACTGAGAAATCAATGGACAGATCGAGTAATCAACGAGGAAGTCACGGAAATGCCAATAAAAACAAAAAAAAACTAACAAAACAAAACAAACAAATGAACACTTTTACTCAGAAAAGAAAAAAAAAGCTGAAATTACACGGTAACATAATGAAGAAGGAACGCTTTGAAAACGTAATTCTCACAGGGCATATTGAATGAATGACGGAAGAGAAAGTGGGCAGATTAGAAAACAAGGAAAAACTGCTAAGGGCCACAAGGGGAAAGAGGTTTTCCAGGGTCCATGGTTGAAAATAAGGGGGCTATCAAATTTGTTTTTTCATCCGTCTAAGTGTTTGTTTTTTAATATCGATATTAAATAACCCTAAAAGAGTTAATATATCATAAAATCACAGAAAGTAACGTAACTTTTTTGAAATTTCAACAAGATTGTATGAAGTTTTGTAGATATATTTACAAGCTGATGTCGGAATTTCCAAATAATCATTTCTTTAGCTTAGCCACCATTTATTTTAAATCGAATTTACCTAATTGATACCAATTTCAAATTACTAGTTTCTGTAGTCGAATATGATTTCGCCGATCTCCTTTGATTCCAAATTATCTATTCAAAATATGTCTTTACTTGTTTAATATGTGCACCAATTTCTTTAGTAGAAGAAAAGAAGCCCATAAGCTATTGAATACATTTATTTTTCTATTCAGTTTCGATAATACCAATTTCATTGAGACTTTTTATTTAATATTTTAACGAATATAAACACCAGTAAGATGTCCGCCTTAGATCTCGCACTTCTGTCGTCGCTATAGCGACAATCAATAATCGACCAATTTGGGCATAAAAATGATGTGGGAGGACATTAAATCGGTATTTATAATGGCAAGTGCATAAACATTTTTTTATTAACCCTTTCAGCCCAAGCTAAGCAATAAAGTCACTAAGACGCAAGAGGTTACTGAGTGTGAAAGAATATAAGAGGATAGCATTATTAAGGTGTGAGTAAAATAAAAGAACAGAAATTAACAAGACAGAATATTACAAGTGACATTGATTTTAAATTATTTAATATCAAAGTTGACTGCTAAGCAAAAACCGGAAATGAGTTGCATAAGTGTTAAGTGCGAGATAACAAATTATTAACATAGAACATTACATGTTACATTACATCTGCAAAACGATGAGACCTTATCACTAACCTGGTACTACATTTAAATTCAATTTAGGTACTACAGGGGAAATGGTGAATACTAGCTGTATTGATATCACTTGACTTAAAATATTTTTGCCCTTCCATGCCTTTAAAGGGTGCCCTTTGCCGTGCTGACGTTGCTACATGCCTTGAACTCTTGCCTATCTTACACTGCGAATTTTTTCTAAGCTTTATACTAAACATTAAATCTTTTACGAGAAAAGTAAAATTAAACAAAATGAACACAAAACGATCAATTTAAAAAAAAATTTTTTAACTGGAAAAACCGAATGAAAAAATCCATGTTAAATAATTTTTCACATCCAACCCAGTTCTGCGGAATCAGAATCAACTCTAAGTTTAAGCAAGCGAATATCCCAATTACAATAAAGTGCCATTCAAATTTAAATTTTTCCCACTTAATGACGAATGCAGGGTATCGATTTATTTATTTTTTTGCATTCTAGCATGCTAGTTAACATTCGTGTTTTCAGCTGTTGGCTCTCATGCTGGCTCTAGAATTAAACCTGCCTATTCGTGGCAGCCAACTCTGTGGCTCTTACTCTGGCCAGTAGAAAATGACCGAAAACTACATATAAAACTACCGTAGAATTTATGAAAAATCGATTATTTCCACTATCGATAGGAGTTGGGAAATGCAAATGCAAAGCTAACTTGGAGAATGTGCACTTAAATTTTGGTGCAAATCCATCGAAAATTGCGGCCGTGCATTCATTACACACACACACACATCCTGACTTTTATAGATAGAGATATAGATCACTCAAGAAAGATTTAAAACATATTTTGTACGGATGAAGCTATTAAGCTCATTAATCAGCTACATTAGTTTGATCTTACAATTTCTGTTCAGGCCTTTCCCATTCTTACATTAGTTTCTATTAAATAGTTGGTTAGAAAAGAAGAAAAGGAAATTCTTCTTTTACTGTTCGTAGTTATTAAGAAAATTCATTACATTGAAACGGTTATTCGATATTGGACGATGTATTGTTTTGCAAAAAGTTCGTTAATATCATCACGTCCTGTAGCACTCTTTTATTCCCAGATGGTGACAGCCAAATATATGTGTATTTTACAGTTTATTTTCAGCAAAGTGAATGTCAACCCCATTCCTGCTTCCAGTTATTCACATCCGTAGTGTCAGCAACAATAATCTTTATGCTCATATATAAATTGTATTCATCCAGAAGAGCTGTATCCGTTTTTCCCATTTGGTAGTTGTGATGCTTCTAACTTCTATAATTTCATTCTTCAAAACAAGCACTTGATATTCTTGGGCAACAACTCGTTCGCACATCAAAATGTAATGACCAATTTTGTTGAGTTTTCTCATTGCTTCTTTAAGTTTAATACTTCTTTAATAGTGGATCTGTAAATACAAGACTGAGAATGTTTCTCAATATCATTCCCTTCTCGATATATCAGATGACAAATATTTGTTGCGTTGACGGTTGATAAGTTTGAAGGTGTTAATTTGGTTGATGTTACTAATTTGGTTGCAACTTGGGTTTTACTATACTCCTTTTTTTTACTTGTAGATTGTTCTTCAGAACTTTTGAACTTTTCCTATTTAAACTCTGATTGGATCTCTGATTCAGACATTGAAGACGTTGTTATTGTTACTGTTTTGCTTCTTTTGAATGGGTGAATAGTTTTGGAACTCACAGTCTTTCCAGTTGTATATCAAACATATCCTTTGCTTTCGATCTGAACATGATACAACCGTCTGTTCTCACTACATAGCCATTCAAGTTTTTCTTTTGTGATGTCAATGCTTTCATTCACATTAAGTTTAAACATAGCCTTTAGCATAAAACAGACAGTCGCCTCTTCGTGTTGACTTCAATGACCACTTTATATCAATAAACTCTATATTTGCATGGTCTACACTTGATATTGAGTACTTTAAAGAATAAATATAGCATAACTTAAAACTATATTTTATCACACACACACACACACATATATATATATATATCTTGTATACTGTTGTGGATTCCGGCATGAAATCCGGTACCAATAAATAAAAAAACCCAAGAATGAATATAGGAAAAAATGTATTAACGTAATACTACATAGACTGGTAATGCAGGTTAGTAGTTCCAGGAATACGGGTTAGTAGCAAAATATCTATACAGTCTTTGGTATTGAAGTATCGCTGTATGACTTCTTACTGAGTCTACGTGCTTGCTCACTGTGACTCTTGCTCGCTACGTTCGTTCTGTCTGTCTGTCACCTTCACTCTCACTCTTCCGGTTACTTACAACCTTTCACTCCTACTCTGTAGCTCTCGTCTCTCGGGTCTTCACGTAGCAGTAGTATATGTATATACTGGGTGAGTCCATTTGGGTAAAAAAGGAGAGGACACCTCAACACATACAATAGGAATTGAGATTACTCATGGTTATGATCAGATTGAAGCAAAGAAAAATGGACAAAGGAAAAAGAGTAAAATTTATAGTGAAAAGACAAGATAGGAAGAGGAAGAAGAAAGTAGAGAGAAGGTAGTAATGTCTTGACATGGGAATGGTATGAGGAGATAGATACATGTAGATTGACATTATTTAGATTAAAATATTCACCTCGGTTTCAATCAGTAAAATAAGAGTAGAAAATTAGAGAAAATATTTTTAATCTTATATTAAAAAATTACTATTAATTGAATATTAAATATTTATATTAATGAGAAAAATCCCAGAATTAATAATATATTAAAATATTTAAAAAAAAATATTTATTTATTTTCATTTTTGGAATGTATCATCTAATATTATTGTGAAAGGAGAAATGACCATAATTATAGAGTAATCTTAATTCCTATGGTATGTAATTTATACGCGCTGTTTGAATAAAACATTGAGCTCTCTATGTGAATCATTTATAATATTTTATATTATTAAGATTCATTTGGATTATATACCAGGAGATTATTACCTATATATACAGTGACTAGCAAAAGTATTTAACACGTTGCTTTTTCTTACATATCTCAAAAAATAACAGATCAATTTTAACGAAACTTATAGGAAATATTTAAACGAACATTGTCGGTCAAAACATAAAAGGAAAATTTAAAACCACTGTGTTGAGAAACATTTATTAACAATAAATTAAATAACTCATATGCAAAAATATTTAACACCAATGCAAATATTATGGTAGAAGAGACGTGTCGTCATGATTCCTACCCATATTGATATGATGTGATATGTCGACAAATGACAAATTTTTGCTCGACACTCAACGGGCTATTTTCATAACAGCTCTGAGACACTGCAGCTATTCTGTTGCCACTTTTGCAAGAAAATGGTGAAAATAATTTTGTAGAACTGTCGAATGACATCCGGAAGAAGATCATAAAGAATCAAAAGATGGTAAGGGATATTAAAAATCGCTCAAGATTTGAATTTGCTTTCAATGATTAAGTTGGTGCTGTTGCTCGAAAATGAAAAAAAAAAACGATACTATTGAAAACATTCAAAAAGTGGTCTTCCCTGTATCTTAAATGAGGCTAATGAGCGATAAAGTTTTTTCGTAATGTGAAGACAAATCCATTTTCAACTCGTCGAGAAATTCAGAATGATTTGAAAAATGCTATATTGAAGTTAGTAATGATACAATTAAAAAATCACTGAATCGTGCAGGTCTCACATCAAGATCACCGAGAAATATGAAACGCATATATATGTATAAGCCCGTTTGAATTTTGCAAAAAATATGAAATTGAATCTAATGATTTCTGGGATAAGTAATTTGGTCAGACGAAACGAAAAATGATATATATTACTACGAAATATGCTAACTCATGTATGGATATAAAAAGGAGCGGAATACGAGCTAGCAAATACCATCCCTACAGTCAAATGTGGGGATATTAAATATTAATTATGATGTGGGGTTGTTTTTTAAAATAGAGTAGGAAAATTAAAAATCACCGAATCTTGAATGAATGCTGCAAAATACACTCAGATTTTGTCAACTCAACTCTTGAACAGTGCCACATCTTTGGGACATGGTCGTGATCTTGTATTTCAGCAAGACAATGACCCGAAGCATACTGCTAAAACAACTAAGAATCGGTTTCATAATAACGACATTAATTTCCTGGAATGGCCAAGTCAGTCACCGGATTTAAATCCAATCGAAAATTTGTGGAAACTATTGAAGTTACGAGTTCATAAAAGAAATCCATCGAATTTAAACAAATTGAAGAAAATTTGTGAAGAAGAATGGGTCAAAATACCAACAAGTACCTGCAAGAAACTATCTTGAAGACTACGGGAAACGACTGGAGGTTGTGAAGCAGAACAGAGGCTACTGTACTATCAAATTAGTAAAGTGTGTTAAATACTTTTGCATATGGGTTATTTTATTTATTGTTAATAAATGTTTATCAAAACAGTGGTTTTAAATTTTCCTTCTATGTTTTGATCGACAATGTTCGTTTAAATATTTCCTAATATGTTTCGTTGAAATTGAACATAGTGTTTTTTTTTGAGATATGTAGGAAAAAAACAATGTACTAAATACTTTTTGACATGGTACGTCTATATATATATATATATATATGTAAATTGTTATTTGCAGAAAAATGTTTCAATAACTAACCTCCAGATATCCGGCTGAATTCAAGTATTTTACATGAAACCAAATGATTTTTTTAAAAAAATTGTGATTGCTGCTGGGTAAGTGGATTATGTGATGTTGAATATAGAGGAAAAATGTCTTATAGGATCATAGTGGGGACGATGTTGGTATTGAGATATTTTGTACGTTAATAAACTATTTACTCAATAGAATAACCAAATTGGGGGTAAATATAAAATGATAGAGAAAAAAGCAAAAAACCGAATACAATAAACGAAAATATATATAATATAGTAAAAAAATACTTAAAGAATTCTTTTTAGGAAAATCATTGTTAGAAAAAAAGGGAGCCGAGAAAAATAAACTGAAGTAAAATTTTTAAAAAAATAGCAAAATATTAAAAATAAAGATAATGATATTAAGTCGGACCCCAAAAAAAACATTATTAAAATAGAATTACACATGAAACTTATTTGGATTATTCAGAGTTGTAAGAAGGAACAGATGTCCTCCATGCATCCAGGCAGATTAAAAACTGAGGCTGAAATACCTCAGAAAATGAAAAGAAGAAAGGAAGGGAAAAATACTTCAATATTGATTGAGAGCATCGAGAAAAAAAAAATCAAATAGGTGATAAGCGAAAACAAAAAAGACACGGCTTTGAGGTCTGTTAAAAATATATATATATTATTTTATATAATATATATATGGCGATATGATATGTCATTAATTGACAATGAGATTTTTTTACAAGAGGAAGAAATCTAAGCAGAAAAAAAACAAACGGATTGTACGGGAAGGCATCTTATTACAACACAGGCCTAAGAGACAATGAAAAAATTCAAGTGAAAAAATTATTTCGAAAGGGACGAAAAAAAATGACAATTTCGACTAAAAAAAGAGAAACAGATAAAAAAAAGAAGGAACCACGATGTGTTTTGTTGACGGCTTTTCCCTATCTAGGCCTGCGCAAAACGAATTGGTTATCAAGAAATGTTCGCCAAAGAAAAATTCAATGAAAAACGTTAATTTTGATAAGTGACAAAAACAGGTGTACTACAGAGGACTTTGGTTAGATATGGAAAATTAAAATCCCACACAAGCAGTCTCGCTGACCGAATTTTTTTCGACAAAACAACTTTTGCCTGCGATAATAAAAATTTATGTTATCAGACATATGTGCCGAAGGAAAATGAATGGGGAACCAGAAATGTTTTTTTCTTCCTTGGAGACGACAGACTGACTGAAAACTTGGGGATAATTCTTTTTTGAGGCCATGTTAAGAATACCAACCATCTTGATAAATTAGCGATAAAATACCTGACGTAAGCCACGTGTTGAACAAAATTATGACCCCATTGTTCATATTTTCCGTTCGTGGCTAGAGAAATGATAACGGCGATTTGAAAAAGGAAGAAAAGGAAAAGAAAAAGATTTTTTTTTTTAGTTAAGCAAAGGTATTTTTTTCCGAAACAAAGCCGCGGATTGTTCACGCCCGACTAAGACATCATTGGTCAAGTGGTGATCACGTGACGCACGAAGGAGGAGGAAAGATACCCGACCAAGACCTCATTGGCCGAGACTGATCACGTGACGCACGAAGAAGGCTGTCGACGCCCCCCATCCAGAGTATAAGTATCAGAAGCTGCTACGAAGAAGGGGAGGGCAGTTCACGCCCCTCAGAAGTATGGTGAGAAAGTGGGAGTGAAAAAAAGGTTACCAAAAATGGAAAAGAGTGGAAAATCCCTAACCAGAAATAAAAGAGGTGGATATGTATTTAGAATTATCGAGGAACCCCCGGACGCCAACAGACCCACCCCGGTTTTGATCGGCGTCAATAAAAGCCAGGCCCCAACAGGCAGAAATCAGTTCGGGCCCTGGCGGCAGAGATGAGCTCCAGTTTCCAGATTTGAAGCCGCCTCGAGATAGCTGACCAAGATTCACGCAAAATTCCGGACTCCTCTTCAACCAAGAACAATTATTTTGAAGAGCGACTTAGGACCAGACCACCGAAATAAGTTTTTTTCGACTTTCGTCCAAAGACACACCGAAACACAAATTTCTTAGAGAGCAAACAACTGGAAGCGTTAAAACTTGCCTAGCGAAAACGACGTGTCACAATCCACAGAACGGGTCGGGAGATAGATGCAGTCCTATGTATCGAACAACTAGACATAAAGTTTGTTACCTTTTTCTTTGATACTTTGAACTTTTGAGTTTTCATTTTATTTTCTTTTATGCATATTTGTGTTTATCACCCCCGTTGAACTCAATTTGCATTACGGCCCCAACCACTGTTTGATCTCGTCTGTCTAAGATCAATTCACAACGTGGGTAGGCAGACTGGAGATCAATGCAGTTACATTGGTAACCAGGCGTTGGAAGCGAGTTGGGAACGACGAGGCTGATATCAAATCTAACCAGATTCCCACCCGAATCACCAAAAGGTTAGAACGTCACATTTGGGTGCCGCAACCGATACCAAGCCAGTTGGTCGTCACAGGACGAGACAACACGACTGACGCGACAGGCGGACGTCACGTTTGGAGCAGCGACACCCGAACGGAGTAGCGAGGAGCGAACAGCTGGCGCCACGGCGAAGACGTCACAAGTGGTGCTGTTTGAGGATGTCACAACTGGCGCCGTGGTAGATCAGGATAGAACGTCACAGTTGGCGCTGCGACCGGGGGACGACGTCACACAGATCTTTTCTAATAAGCAGGAATCTACCCAGCCTCAAGAACCAATGTCGGATAGTCTCCACCGTTTCTAGGTTTATTTCTCGAATCCTCTGATAAAGAACACAGACGTGTTGAAAAATTTCAAACTTGGAAACTTAATCTCCGTACTTCACTTTTGTCATGTCGTTAATATTAATAAATGTTTTTTGTACTAATTACATCGGTAATCTTTCGTTTCAGTTCGTTTTATTGACCAACTTATCGATATATATATATATATATATATATATATA